TTTATCGATAATTTTCATAGAGGCGACAAAAATACCATTAAATTAAAGCAATCGCTTGAAAATGATCAAATATGTAAAATAAATTTTTGTTTTAAAAGGAATAAGACGTCCAAGGATATTTAAATATGCCGGAATGTTTCTAGCTAAAAGTATTTAAAATAAATTGTGGCTATTGAAAAGGTAAAAATGTAGTACTAATGAGCAAATACTTGAAAAATTAATTTTTATTCTATCCGTTTCTTGGTCGTTTTTCGTATGAATGAATCGTAATTGGCAATGAATCCTTCTAAAGTTTCCACAGTTAATTACAAGTAATTGCCGTTAATTTAATAGTTGTATCATTTATTCGCCGTACATTATTAGTTGGTCTTCGGAACCGGTCCTGATGCTAGTTCGAGCTACGAATTAAAGACACATCATGATCGCAGCGGTGCGCTCGCGATTTTTCTCTCCGGGTAAGACAATAACATACCGAGATCCCTATCTCGCGCAATTGATTTCCATATTTTTCCGAATAATTACCCCTCGTGGAGCGAATGTGTCCTAATTGGGACCTTCGACCTCGCGTTGAGATATGGAACGTCAAAATCGTGACGCGGGTTGCTCACAAAACGGTGGCCGGATAACCTACGAGGCCTCCGTGCGCCGCATGACATGTATTAAAGGACTTTCTGCTTCATTATAAGCAATGTTCCTTGGAATGCCCGACGCATTTTCAAATACACCTACACCCTTCGAGGCTAAAAATATCGAACTAATTAAATTTCCATATAATTTCGATTTCTTTTTTCGAATTTTCCGCACGTCACTCAGTAATTACTGTAATTAATCGTGATCCTAAGATCGTCTTCGATGCGTAATTCCCTTCATCTTCTGTCAGAAAACGTTAATGCAAATGCAGACACAGGCCGTGTTTAGATGTGGTCATCACAGATAAAAGAGATATCGTGACCGTCCTGTGACAAACTGATGTATACAAGAAGGCACTGTTAAAAAATACGTGTTTATCGGCAAACGTGAGTCGTATATTGGAAATTTATTTATATTTACGGAATATTCCGAGAGCACTGTGTACAAGTGATCAATTTCAATTCCTAATTGAACTAAAATCCTCTAGAAAAATACACCTTTCGGTAAAACCCTCAACTTATAAATTACTCGATTAGTTTTTTCTCTTTGAATAATAACAATAATTCCAATCGAATTTTCTAATTGAAAATATCGATTGGAACAAAAAGCAACATCAACAAATTAATAATTTTACCGATGAAATCGGTGTCTAAATTATACGGTAGTTTTTCGGCTACCGCAAACCGGAATTCGCCCGAATCGATTTTTTTGAACCATAACGTACACAATTGGAGTCCTGCGGTATTGTTTTATTATTTCATCACCGGTCATCACCACCTGCTGGTATGTGTGATGGAAACTATTTCATTTTCACGAATGTTCTTGGGAATTCGAGTTTTGTGGTTTTCTTCCTCCTTGCATAGATCGAATTACATGTTGTATTAAAATGTGAGATGCTATATTTATAATTTTTTTCCTAAACGCTAATTTTACGCTTCACGATGTCTTTACATACTGTACAGTTATTTCATTAATGAATATTCTAATTTATTTCTATTAGATTTTTTAAATTGGTGAATAATAGGTGGTTTAAACTGAATAAGGAGTTTTGGGAGATGAAATTTGTCTTGGGAAAATCCACGCAGTATAAATTATTCTCTATCCGTGAAAAAAGAACCTCTATCTCTGTAAAGGCACCGCATCACTTGTCGCGTTCGTTTGCTACCAGAAATGCGAATGAGTCTAATAGGACACTTTTGAATCAACGTATATTACCTTATTAGCGAAACACCTGTATACTGCCCGTTTCGAACCGACTTTATAAAAAAAAACTCGACGCGCACACTTTTGGATCTGTTTTCAAAGTGCACGGCCAATTATTCTATGACTATATACAGACTCGGCGCATGTAATGTTTTATTTATGTAAAACCGATGTTTTCAATGGGACATACTTTTTGCCTCGCTCTTTCTTTCCTTTTTTTCCTGCTGCTCAATTTTCAATGTATCTACCAGTGTAACTGACCACTAGCACATATTTTACTCGTTGAAAATTGAAGTTGTCTACAATGAGACAATTTGCTGGGAACATGTGATTCTTTTCTCGTTTCTGCTCAGTTGTGTAAATACTAGACAGATTCACCTTGTCACATAACATGCTGCTATTGTTTCAATGAACCTGTTACCACATTTGATAGTATTACATAGTATTAGAATACTATTACAAGGAAATATAATTAAAAAAGTAGATATATCCAGTAGATAGATTGTAAACTTAGATGTGTAAAGTTCACTTAATGAGAATATACATTAAGCTACCAGGCTCTAACCCACGGGTTCAGGTGATCAATTAAAGCATACAAGTGGTAACGACGAACCGAAGTGAAAAATAAATAAAGAAATTTCCGTCGATGCGACCCCCGAGATCCTTCCGGTACCACTTTGACGATGTTCGCTGAGTTGGAACAGTACTTAATTAAGCATCTTGTATTAAAATCCCGAACGTGGGCGCTATGACAGCGATCATCTTTTGTTCAAAGGAAAAAATGAACGCCCGCAGTAACATGGCTAACTGAGTCTGACATGGTCGTGGGTTAGGCGGCGAGAAAAAAACGAGAAAATTACTGTTGCGATGATAGGAAAATCAGTAATTGCTGGCAGAAGAAGTCAATTATGCGAGAAGGGTAATTTTTTTCATTCACAACCGACGGTGTTTTTTTAATAAGGCTTTGTGTGAGCTTCACCCTGTAGGTAAAATAAAATAATAAATAAACAGAACGTGCTGCTACAGTAGTCAAGTAAACACAGCACAGGTGTTGTATTTATAATGGATTAACTCAAGTAATTTCATGGTGGTCTGTAAAAATTCTATGGGCACGATTTTATTTTTTGTAAGTCTCTTACAATAGAAATAATTATTGGAACAGTAATAAATCTTGCTAGCGTTTCTACACTGCATCTCTGAGACTGCAATATGCATATAGGAGGACAAAAACGATGAAATTTAACGAAAAATCATTCCAAACAAAGTTTGCATGTATTTTACTCAATCTCTAAGTTTTTAGTCCCATTAGAAGTTTCTTAACCTACAACTTCTTCCACACAACTTACCTACAATTAGGTAATTAATAATAAATGACATTATGTTTGTATAAAAAATTGTCCAGTGGTATTGGAGTTTCCTCCATCACACTTGGAGCTTTACCGCTCCGAATGAAGTCAATTGTGTTTCGGATTTTTTACAGAAAATATATTCATATCTTTTATCAGTAATAACAATGTTATGACTAACTGGATTGCAATTTTCTTGTTTTGCAATTCAATGACTTTGACTTCTCGTTTGTATTCATAGACTTGATTAAGGTTTTACAAAAGTTTCGAAAGAAATGTTGCTCGTGGTGTAATCTAAATTGTAATAAAATTATTTTACTTCTTCGGCCGTTGTATAACGTCATTCCGTTAAATCGTGGCCGGTAGATTTTAATTATGTTTACTCGAAAGGTGCTTAGTTGTAATTTTGATTTATTCTCGGGGCATTGCGAGAGGAAATAATTAATATTCAATATATTTACTTGTAAAAATATTGGTTCTTTCAACAAAAAGATTAGCCGAAACGGTTTAATCGAATTTTGTACCGTTAAATAATTGCATTAGGTGCTTAGGCAATCAATTTATGGAATAAAAAAAATTGTTCGAAGAAATTGTTTAATCTCCTCATAAAAAATAAAAAGCATTTACAGTGAAACAACCTGTTGTACTTGGTCGCTTTCATCAATCTTTTTAGAACCAATAAACATTAAACTAAATTGTTCGACACTTTATCTCACAATAAGCACCAATCTTTTAATCTAACATTTTTGCTATTAAAATAATTCGAATGACGTTAGTGCCTGTAAGAAGTCCGTTGCTATTACGAGTCAAAGGTTTATTGTTATTATTAACGACTTTGTAACAAAATAACGGTAAAACGGTAAAAGTGGTATCGAAACGAAACGGCCTCTCTTCGGTTATTCTCTTCCGGAATAAAATTATAAGTGTATAAACAGTTAAAATTTTGTACCTGCAAACTAATATGAAGAAGAGAGTCTTGTTACATGTTACATATACTTTATTGCCATAAAGTATCTTTTAGTGTGTGTATGAAGCAAGATTCTATAATAAAGTTTCGATATTGAAGTTAATCAGTTTAAAATACGCGCGATTCTTTCTACAGGACTTATGATGGTTCGTTAATTTTTATTGTTTATTATATAGTTCCATACGTCTCTATAATTGATCTCAAGTAAAGTTTAACGGTATTCCGAGCAACAGTAGTCACAATTCGCAATGATAAATCGTGTATGTCCCATATCATCGAACCGATCCCATAACCAAGTAAAGGAATACACGGCAACTTATTAGTCTAAACTAAACGAAACCGAACGGCATATCTTCCTTATGCAGTTCTGATGTGCCCGTAACTGTATCGAAAGCCCATTTGAATTTGTACTAATCATTCCGAACCGGCTAATTCGTATTCCGCGTATTCCCTTACTAATGAGATGTAGCGAATGTCGGAAAAGCCGCTCGGTTTCTGGATATTTAATGCGTACTCTTTACCCGGTTTTAGTTAGTTGCAGAAGTGTCTTTTCGTGTCGAGATTTTTTTCAACACGTTCACTCTATACCCTTAGAAATCTTCCTAAAGTATACATTTAAAGTTTTATAAATTACTGGCATATATGAGATTCAATGCTTATTAAACACAATATAAGTGGCAATATAAGTGGAATTTGCATAATTTTTAAAAACGCTTCCTGTATTTTAGTTTTTAATAAACTAACACAAAAAAAGGCAAAGTACACTTTTTACTGTACAGGCCATTAGGTTTAGGCCAACTTACTATTGACTACTTTTGACATAAGTCAAAACAGAAGAATAAGCTAACCTAATTCTTAACTGTCAGTGTCAGTGTTGATTATGTTTTTAGTTTTTTTATCAACATGAAAATTTTAATTATTTAACAGTAACGTAAAGTAATGTAAATTAAATTTTAACAAACATGGAGTCAGAAAAGGTAACCATGCTGAGGTACAGAGGGTCAAGACTGAGCAAAGTCAAGAAATTAGATATGTTCCCTAAAGTGGAGGAGACTTTTAAAGAAACTTCATCTGTTGGTGGAACATGTTAGTAAACTTGTATACATCTTAAAAACATTCCTTAATAATACGTTGTTTTCAGTTTCTATTATGAGCTTTTTAATAATAACATTTCTGGTTTATTCCGAAATTAATTACTACTTTGACAGTAAGTTCGTGTTTAAATTTTCACCAGACGTCGAATTGGACGAGCAACTTACGATTAACGTTGATATAACAGTAGCTATGCCTTGTCATTGTGAGTACATATCACTTAAAAATTACCTCATATTTATACTCGATAAATTTCAAGTTATAGGAGCTGACATATTAGATTCCACTAACCAAAACGCCTTTAAATTCGGGGCTCTGGAAGAGGAAGACACTTGGTTCGAACTAGACTCAAACCAACAAATGTATTTCGAAAACAAAAAACATTTGAATTCGTATCTTCGGGAAGAATATCACGCTGTGAAAGTAAGCATAGGTAAACAGATTTTTACTGTTTTAATAGTGAGTTACTGTAGGACTTACTGTGGAAAAGTAGTTTTTCGACTCACTACGGAGACCTGCCTAAAAGGACATTTATACCCGACAGACCTCACGATGCCTGTAGAATTTACGGAAGTCTTACTTTGAATAAAGTTGCCGGCAACTTCCACATCACAGCTGGTAAAAGTTTGCATTTGCCTAGAGGACATGTGCATATAAATGCATTTATGTCCGAAAAAGACTATAATTTTTCGCACAGAATTGACAAATTCAGTTTCGGGGATTCTAGTCCGGGTATTATTCATCCTTTAGAAGGAGATGAGTTTGTTGGTAATTACGGTATGTTACTACTAGATTATTAGCTAATTCTGTATATTTAATGAAACTATTTACAGGTCGCACTCTATTTAATTACTTTATTGAGATTGTTCCTACCAGAGTAGATACATTCCTAACATATGTGAATACGTACCAGTATAGCGTTAAAGCTCTCAGTAGGCCTATAGATCATAACAAAGGCAGTCATGGAATACCGGGGTTGTTTTTTAAATATGACGTTTCTGCCCTTAGAGTTACTGTTAAACAGCAAAGAGATCATTTGGGTACATTTTTAGCTAGATTATGCTCTATCATCGGAGGTGTTTTCGTTTGCTCAGGTAAACATGTTATTCTATTGCGAAACGTGAATTTCAATTATTTGAGTTTTAGGTATTATTAATAGACTCGTGCAATATATTATTAGTCATACAATGCCAAAGACAAGTGTTGCGGAAACAAGAAGTAGATGAATTAATTTTACTGCGTATTGTATCTTCCATTTTTATTAAGCCCTACAAAAGATTGTAATATTTTATATTTTTTTCAAAAATACATTCCATGCAATTTTAATAGACTTTTGAAATAATACGTGTTTAATTAATTTTGAAAATAGTGTGAAGGATAAACAAAATTTTAAACTGTGTGATGTGAAATCCGTGTTGCCTATGTAGTAGGACCTACACAAGTTTTTTTTTCTTGGATTACATATAGTGTCAAACTTTAATTGTCAACAATGTCAAATAAATGAAACTTCAATGTCAATCTAACCTTTCATTCTTTCAATTCGAACGCAATACAAACAGCAAACACCCGGTTTTATAAAGTGTAAAATTAAATAGAAAACCAACTCTAATAAGAAAATTTCAATACAAAATGAATTCTGTGGAACAAAATTTACTACACGTTACGAAGGCAATCGAGAAACAAGTGGACACGGTTATTGAGCAAATCGAGAACCTCGACACGACAGATTTGGAACAAATAAGAAAAAATAGAGTGAAAGAATTAAAGAAGTACGAAGAACAGAAGAGAATATGGTTGCAAAACGATCACGGTAAATACGAAGAGTTGCCCGAAGAGAAATGTTTCTTCGATGTGATCAAGAAATCCGACAATGTCGTGTTACATTTCTACAGGGATGCGACCCCCAGGTGTGCCATTGTGGACATGCACTTGAAGATTCTCGCTCCCAGACATATAGAGACAAAATTTACAAAATTGAATGCCGAGAAATGTCCGTTTTTAGTCGAAAAACTAAAAATCAAAGTCCTTCCTTCCATCGTTTTGATACAAAACGGTATAATGATCGACAAAATCATCGGCTTCACTCAACTAGGCAACACCGATGATTTTACTACGGAACTTCTTGAATGGAGAATCGCACAAAACAGTATTATTAAATACGACGGTGACCTATCGACGCCTCCAGATCAGCAAAGAAATAAGAAAGGCTCGAAGAAAATTAGAAGCCGTGATGATGACGATTTAGATATCGAAGAGTATGGTATTCTAGCTGAGTCTGCAAAATCAGAAGCCAATATAAGAAATGATGTTCCGGAATTGACCCCCGAAGAAGCAGCCGAACTGGGCCTTTGAATATTTTTTTCTAACTACATTAAAATTGTAATCTGTTTTCATTGCTTGTTATTTTAATTAGATAAACTCTACTTGCTTTGTATATCTTTTTTTACATAAATTATTTTAAAATTCAAACAAATAGTTTTATTAGGAAAATAAGTATATACATTATTGTTATGTAGTTGGAGGAAGAACTACTAGAATAAGCAAAAACATTTTCTTGGACATTAACTTGTACAGTTGAAATCATGTCCTCGTTCAATTCTATAAAAAATAATTGTTAATTAAATTTTAATGAAAGCTGTATAATAAAATACCTGCTCCAGCTGTAGCAAACCTCAATATTGGTGAAGGTTTACTCCAACCATACCTATTTCTAGATACCAACAACGCTTCATACACAGTCCTCTCCTTCAATCCTTTGATAGTATAAGATTTAGAATAAACAGGACCTGAACTGTGTTCAGTAGGTATAGTTAATTTAGTCCAATTGGGTGGATGGGTTAGTCTTCCTTTGTACGTTCTAAACCAAAGACTATATTCGATTATCGGCGTATAACTATCCACTTCCCAAATTAATGTGTAATGATTTTTAGCATCTTGATTTTTATCTTCTGTGTGTTTAAATACACCAGAATTCGGTACTCCTGCAAAATTACAAAATTGTATAAAGCGAATTAGAAAAATAATTTGTTTACCCGAAAGTTGAATGGCCAGTTCTCCCTGTCCGAGTTCGTTTGTAGCCCTGCAAGTGTAAATACCAAAGTCGCTTCTTTGCACATTTTTTATAAGCAAAGCGTGCTTGTCCCCCTCCACGATAGTAACTACCCTCGAATCCAGATGCACGGGAATTTCTCCTTTCAACCAAGTCACAGTCGCCTGCGGATCCGCCGAAACTCTGCAGTCTATCTGCACCCGATGACCAGGTGCTGTGTGAATCCACGATCTCGATGTCACCATTTCCGGCGGGTCTACAAAAATCAACCGATTACGAATTTAATTATCGCATAATTAAGCGCTTCTTTACATATGACGTTGAGCTCAATCGAGGCCTTGGCCGGTTCGCCAACCCCATTCGCTGCCGTACACTCATAGATCCCGGCCATTTGTCTGTCTGACGCGGTGAATTTCAGAATTTCCCGATGATCAATTAACTTTAATTCCTCTCCCTAAGAATGCGACCGTTAGTTTGCGCTCCAAAATATCGTAAAATAGTATTATGTTATCGCCAAATTATACCTTACTTGTCCACGTAATCATCGGATAGGGAACTCCTTCGGCTTTGCAAGATATTCTAACTTCTTCGCCTAGTTTTACTTGCAGGAATCCGTTTGAAGGAAACGGTTCTACAGAGGGTGAATCTAAATAAAGAAGAATGTAATTAAGTGGATATTTAAATTAAATTTGCAAGACTCACGCAAAACTTCTATGGCATGAGTTTGCCTTACAGGACCCCAAGGTTCCGATCGTTCAATTTCACAAACATACTCCCCAGTTTCTTCTGGTTGCACGCTCAAAATCTCCAAAGACCCATTTTTCCAAAGAAAATGCCTGTCGGGTAAAGTGAGTGTTTCATTGCTGCTATCTGCTATGAGATTATCATCTTTATACCACCGAATGGATACAGCATACGCCTCATCTAGTACACGTGTAATATAAATAATATTAATTAAAAATAATAAATACATACCATTAGAAATCGTATTCAAATAGCAGGGCAACAAAACGGTATTATTCTCTGTAGCTTTAACGGTAGTCGGGGGGCTGATAAAATCGCCAATTTCATTACAAACGCAGGAACTAATCACCGACACAAACACAACACAAAAACGCATTTTTCCGGATATTTCAAAAAGAATCGAGTTTCAATGGAACGCCGAGCAACGTGCATTCGAGTTGCATGAGGGACTTTGTGCGCTTATTGAAGGTCCGTGCAGCGAGTGGTGGTCAATTACCAGGGGCAGAGGCCCATCTATACGGTTTAAAATAGTTGTCTTGTCAATTAGGCTTTTCTAAATGGATTAACTCAATGTTGGCCGGTCGAATCTTTGTTACGGTATGTACTTATTTGATTGAATTAGTTCGGACGAGCTTCTGAATGATGGGGGAATTTAAGAGTGAGAAATACGTTACGCTCAAATTTATAGCGTTTTTTAACAAAATTATTCAATAATGGAGGAATCATAAATTATTTTAATTATCGATTAAGTCGTTCTGTTTACTATTAAAGAGTTATCGTTGTTATTGTTGTAATAAATGTGGCCATTCATAAAATAACAGCGCGGTTTAATTCAAAGCGCATTATAAATAGCTCTCTTTGTATTTATAATTGAAACATTTTTTTAAAAGAATACAAATGTAGGTACATTTTTCTGAAGACGTTGTGTTTTTCGTTTTCCTAGAGAAATTAGTAAGAATATAAATCTTAATTGATTGCGATGGGAGTTGTTCGCTGGAAGCAATTATGTAATTTGCTACACCCACGCACCCGCTCGAATTTACTTTCAGCTCTTAATTAAAAACCGGGATTAATTTAATTGGCGCAATTAGTCACTAACGAGAAATTATAGACTTACTGAAAGCCACTACACAAAAAAAATATTACTTAGCCAATTACGTAATTAGATAAATACAAAAGATGATTCTTTAGCTATTGCCTAATTAGCGTATGGTGTTTGCAGTTTCATTCAGTAAAATATTTATTGTGTATTTTATCTTTTATGTTTTCCCAGTTCTTTCCTCATGGAAGAAGTCAAACGGTATAGACATTATTTCATCCAATTATGTCTCAATTGACACACAATATCCAATTTAGTCTTTTATACGGCGAGATAATACACTTTAAAGACCTTTATACAACTTATGATGATGTTTACTAGCGGTTTGTGTACCTACCCATTATTTTATAAGGATAAATTGCTTGAAAAATGATGAGGTTGTTACTTGTTACCTATTTAATATTATCATTATTATTAAAGTATTATTTATTCTATGCGGTTTTAATGAGTACTTTGAACGTTTACTGGGGTGCTTTGAATCAGATTAAAATCTTTACTCACCAATTCACCCGCATGTAGATAATGAATTTATGACTGCGTCTATATGTAAAACTGGTTGCCTATGATATGTTTGTATAATAGCAGTAAAACGCTCATGCAGGATAAAATTTCTAGATAAAAGATGCTGTTATCAAAAAACTAAAATTTCATTACCTTTGGAATTAAATTACTTGCAATTCCTGCGTAGATATTTTTGCAAGAATTGTACTAAAGAAGCTTCGAATTGCTTCTTAACAAGCTATGTATGTATTATCTTATTCGCTGTACATTACAATTTCCGCTTTTCCTATCTATTTGAACATTATTTATTTCATAATAATCTCTAGTAGCAAACCGCACAAATTTTTCCAGATAAAACCTGCTATAAATTAAAAAGGAAAGCAATAAATATCGACTCGGTTGCAGTTTGGTGTTTGCTCTAAAAGGTGCATGAACCCTAATTTATCAAGGCGAATGTGGAATGATAACTTGCGATAAGAAAGCGCGCCTAATAAACACAGGCAGTAAAGAAAAAATTAGATTATTATTATTAAAAAAAGAATCACCGCGAAAACGGAAGCTTCCTTTCAATTAGAATGCATCCTTACCTTGATATTTCAAAATAGTAATCCGCATCTATTTTCGCTGATTAGTGCTCATTAAAAATGTGCAACACCACCTCACAATTACCGACCAATTTTCGTGTAATGACCCCCTTACATTAGAAAATGAGCTCATCAAAAGGCGATTTAAATTTGCCGAAATCCATAGTCGAAAATTATCGGCCCGTTAGTAAACTTTTAGTATTCCAAGCTGGTGCAAAAATTTGCATACAAGGATCACGAGGAAACATTAATCAAAGCGGCGCATTTCAAACGAAATGAAAAGGCAGTGGCGTTTTTTACTCAACTCTATAAGTAATAAAAACAATAATTAATAAGTTTTAATTGTATGGAAGATTTGTTGATCCTTTATTGCTAACTATTCACAATTTCTTCCTTCATATATTTAACTTTTAAGAGTTATTACACGATTTATTTCATTGTTCTATAGGTGTAATTATTAATTTTACTATTAAGTATGCATTTTTATTAGAGACAGCCACTGTGTAATACCGTATTTGGATTTTTGTATCAGGTATGCTAGGTGACACCTCTATAAAGTTCTAATCGTTACGGTCAATCGATATACAGTATACAGTTGTGCAAATTTCATTTTGCAATATCCTTTGTAAAACGTTGTGTATCGTTTATTCGATTTGCATATCAAAAACGTTTGAATAACTTTATAGAATAGATAAATCAACTTCCATTGCACGAGTCATTGTGTCCATTCAATACGTTTACATATTGCAAAGAAACGATCTGTTGACACACTTGAAGGTACAAAAAATTGTAGATAAATATTTGCCCAAATTACGTTAGTGTTTTAGTACAATTTTAAACAATGCGGAACTCTTTGTGTCGGAAACAGATAATTCGGCTGTGAATCTTTCGAATTAAATTTCGAAATTTCTGGCTATTCTTAAAGCCGAACCGTTTCTACAGAATTATATGATGTCACTGGTATTTACAGTCGAAATTCAGCCTCATCCACATACTGCAAAACGAAAATAGAGCGAGACGTGAACATTATTTTCGAATAAATATTTTTATTTCATAGTTTTACGAGTCGGTCGACATAAAATGCATTACCGGAAGAGTAATACGTGTGTACTTTCGGTTAATTGATGAGAATATTCCACGCTTCCTTGTCACAATGCTAATAATAAGTTTATTTTTGGACATCTGAACGATTTGAAACATTAAACATAAACTTTTAAAAACTCCTCTTTCTGTATACCTTAATATAAAGTATTATAGGTTTATTAATTTTTAGCAACATTAAAATTATATTTGTATTCATTCAATTAATAGCTGTATTATCTCATCTTGGATTTTCCTCCTCCACAAAATTATTTATAAAACCGTTTGATTGAACTTTATAGGTTTAGTCATAAACCGCAAGATATGATACAAACTATTACGAAGTAATTCGAAGAGAATTACAAATAGGACATTTGAAACTACATAGTGTAAATAAATAATTTCGCACCGGATACGAAGTGATTTATTTCGAGATCGAAGGATATTTTAGGACTATAAAAATACTTCCGTTGCGTCGCCGTTGTTCTTGGTTAAGCAACGCTCGGTAAATACTATGTAGCATTCACGCATCTTTAATTTTTATACTGACACGCACCATTTATCAAATTCTACAACGACGTGTATTGCTTTTATCCGTAATTTATCATACTCTAAAACAAACATGTCATATTTTTTATTTTTCCACCCGCTGAAAATTCGTTAGAAAAAACAGCTTCACTCCGATGCATTTAGTTATTTTATTAGATATTTAGTAAATGTGAATATCGATGCATCTTCCCCTACCAGTTTCCAATATACGAAAGATTTTCTGCGGTTGCAAGGAAATGTTAAAAGGTAAATCTTCAGGCGCGCAGTCGCTCATTCGAAAATAATTTTATTTCAGTCGTTCAGCGCGAACTTGGCGCAAAAACTGGCGCGAGTGTGCTTTATCTGTACCGACATCGCGATTTGTGCTTTGCGTTTTCTGTTTCCTCGATTTCTTCCGAGCCGTAATTTCTTACTGACAGTGCGTGGGAGAAGCGCCGAAGAAGAGAACGAAGAATAAAGGACGATGATGAGCTTAATCGAGGTCGCGTTTTTTGTCCTGCTGATTACCGGTAAGTTGGTATTTCTGCGGACAATCGGTATTTTGTAGCGGGATTTATTTTTAATGCACTTGCTATAAAAATGTATGATGCTCACTGAGAAGAAACCTACACGAGATGGGATGATTGTGATAATATTTGTATACAATGCGATATAAATAAATATGTAGATTTTATTTTTCGAGTGTAGCTTGCACCTGTTCTATGCAATTGGTGTTTGGAAATGGTCCAGCCCAATGAAAATATAATATTTAGTTTAGTACAAGTATACTATTTCCAAAGTCAATTGAATATACTATTTACATCTTTTTTCTATTGGCAAGTTATTGGGTATTCAAAAATAATAAAAAACGCAAATAGTATTAAATTAGCCAATGAAATTAGTAATATTCAATAGACTTTGGTGACACTATATCCGATTAAAAATTTTTACAGTAATTTATTTCGATAAAAGCACCACACGTAGCTGTCCTAAAGTTAAAGATATTGCCTAATCAGAATGCGACTCGCCTCCTAATTGAACCGAAACTTTTTCAACCATAAACCATAAACCTTCTGTTGTGAATAATTACGATTTAATTCGACGATGACTAACGTCGGGAAAAAGGTGAATGGCCTCATTGAAAAAATGCATCGGCTGGTTGAAAAGTACCGGACCCAAATTTCCGGATTTTGTGCACATTCGTAAGGAAACGCTCGACTTGCCTTGAATTAATCAGTTAGATAATTATTTAATTTATCTCACGTTATGGTTAATGTTGTAGCAGAGGAAAATACGAGTAATAGTGACATAAAATGTGTAAAAATTACGTTTGTTTACTTAGATAACAACATGTATCCATATAATTTCAAGGTAAATGTTTGGAAAAAAATACCTACATATTTTGAAAAACATTCCTAGCTCATTATAGCTTAAACGACAGATTAGTTAGTCTAATAAAATTAGAGTTTTCTGTTGGAAACTAAATTAGTTTAAAAAAAATTATTACTTAATTTAATCTTATACAATAATTACATAAACCTATTTTAATGATCATAAACATGAAATCTTTGAAGGCATTTATTAGTTATGCACATT